CGCGCCGCCGCCGCCGCCGCCGACCCCTCTACGCTTTGTCTTCCCTCGCTCAGCGTCCACGCCTTTGTCTGTCCCCCGCCCCGACCTGCGCGCCTTCTGCACCCCCGTTCGTGGGCCTCCTCTTCCGCTTGCTCCCAACGCGTTCGAGGGTCCCATGCTGTATCTTCTCTCCCCCCCCTCCCCGGACGGTTCACGTTCAGGTTGAAGCGGCTGGGGTCGTGGGACAAATAGTCCTGCGGCCGAAGGTGGGAACCGGGGTTTGTCTGGGCTTGTGTCTGCCTCAGTTTCTCCCCATTGGCCCTCGAGGGCTCAGTCACAGCGGTGCGCGACCACCCAGCACTGTGTGGGCCCTGCACCCGGACTGACCCCGCGGGGACAGCCCCGGAGATCAGCCCAGGGTCCCCGGCCCGGCTCCCACGCCCCCTTAGACCGCGGAAGTCCTCCAGCCGCCAGGGGCCGTCCCCCCTCCCCCCATGATGACAACGGAGACCGCTGCACGAGGAGCCGGCAAGGCCGCCTTGCCGCCTCCCAGAAAGAGCCCCGAAAGGCCAACCTGCTCGCGAAGAGTCCCGGGGGTCTTGACCCCATCCCTCAGCACCTTCTAAGACAAGGAGCCCTGAGGCTGCTGCCAGTGACTCCCAGAGCACTCATGGTCCCAAACTCCACGTCTGAACGTGTTTCTGTGGCCACGTTTTGTGGCATTGGTCAAACTTGGCCCCTCTGACGGCACTCCCTTCCGGGAAAGAGATTTACTTGCTTCATATAAGCAAATCCCTGAGCAGCCAAACCTCACTTTACATGGGGGTTGTGAGTGGCCGGAAGATTTGAAGTGACTTGTTGGAGGCAGCACAGCTGGGTCCAGCCCACCGGCCACGCTGGCAGTCGACTTCACTGCCGCACAGATTCGATGGATGCCAAGGAGTCCCGGTATGGGCTAAAAGCACTAGACCACAGGTCGGTTGGAACCACAAGAAACTCACCAGCCACTCCTCGGAAACCCTATACAGGGTGGCTCTGAGTCAAAACCGACTACAGGGCACTTACAAGTGGAGCTCTGTCAGCGGTGCTGAGGGACCGAAGCAGTGGCCCCCTGGACAGAGCTCTGTGGACAGGCCTAGGGCCTTCGTGAGCACTAGTCACTGCTTGGCTTTGCCTGAAATCAGGCTGAAGCTGTCTAGAAGCGCAGCCCTAAATATAGCTTGTTCCCACACTAAGGCAGGAATAGAACTGGTGACTTCAGAGTCTCAGCCCACTCACTTGTCAGGGAACAGAACAGCTCAGTGACTCCCCAGGTTGGCAGCAGAAGGGTGCAGACAGCAGGCTTCTGCCCCAACCAGCTGCTTCACTAAAGCCCTGCTGAGCCTTCCTGATTTGCCTGAGCTGTAGGCCTGGGGACTCTGCATGGAGGGGAGTTTCCAGCCCTGTGATGGCATTCTCAGAAGAGGTGGTTGTGATACAAGAAGGGTGAATGAAGGCTCTGGAGCAGGGCTGGGCTGGGGACTGGCTACGCAGGCCCAGCCTAGGGCCCATGTGTAAGCTGAATAGGTACCTACCACTGGATCAGCAGTGTGCGTGTTGAGGATGAGCTGAAAGCAGAATAAAGAAGACAGCAGGGAAGGAAAGAAAATGAGCAGATAGGATGTTATGAAAACGGAACTTGAGATTTGAAGAATAAACAACGAACAGGGCAAGAGGAGAGGGGTTGGAAGGAAATGTGACCTGGCTTTCTCACACACACTCACTGCCACTGGTTGGTATCATTCCCTTCACCGCTTATCACAGCCTAAAGGAAGAAGTTGGTGTTTTTCTTTTCAAACTCGTCCTAAAATTTCTGAGGAAGAGACGTGAGGGTCCTTGAGGGTTCCATGCAACTTCAAAAAAGAGGGAGGGGCACTTCCTTCATATGAATTAAAGAGGAGGACACCTCCTCTTTATGTAGTATGTGGAGGAAGTAACCCTGAAGTTCCACAGGGGAGAGCCACTGTTAGACTCAGCCCCTGGTATAAGTACATCTAGGCTCTGGCTCCCTGGTCTTAGGTTACTTGCTCTGGGGAATTAGTATCAATAGTAATGAGACACCACAAGTCAGGTTACAAAACAAAACCTTCTGCTTCCTCATTTCCTGCCAAAGAAGAAACATCTTGTGCCTTGACCCCTAGTGGCCCAGAGGCTGGTCTCTAGCACCTTAGACCTTTCAGCCCCAAAGTGGTTTGGTGGTCACAAGCTAAAATTAAGCCTTGAAATTTTAGAGTTAAGAGGCAAATCTATTATGGTGATTAAAAGACATGGGCATGTTGTGAGGCTATTGAATGAAAGAAGACACCACTGTGTTTCCACAACACTTCCCTCACAAGTCCTTATAAGCCTGATGCCTAGGTGGAGTGAACCGTGAGTTTGCAGGGCAAACCTGGTCTGCACACACACTAAGAAGGAGTGCTGAAGGACCAATGCTGACGCAAGTATACAAAACCACCACTCTCCCATGGGTTTACTGAAATTTTTTATTTGTTCTGACAATGAACCTAACACAGCATAAGGGTAACTTAAGCCCTCCAGCTAAACAAGACCCAAGGCCCTTGGAGAAAGCACCAAGACAGCCAGCAAGAGGAGCAAAGATGGATCTTGGGTGGGAACGGAATGATCTACCAGAATGAATTACGAAAAGATAGGCTCTGGGCTTTAGGTATCAGGTTCCAAGGTGTAAGAGGGCTGAGGAAACACCAACCCAGCCTTAACCTGGCACTTGAAGGGGAAAAATGCCTAACCTTCCACAATTAGTGAGTAATCTGAGGGGAAAGGGGACAAGGTATACAGGAAAAGAATGGGATTAGAGTGGTGGGAGAGTAAGAGATGGAAGAGAAGGTCACATAGTTTCCTGCGCCAATGAGTGAAACCATGGGCTTGGACTTCAGGCCCAAGACCAGAGCAGCAGCATCTCTTCCTTTTGAAGAGGTCATGTGACTTACAGAATGGGGAATGTCAGCATTCCATCTCCCACCCACTCCCCATCCACCCCTAGTTGTTCCCTGGTGTCTCGAAAGCCTTGGAGCAATGAAGCAAAGTGTCTTTGCAGGGATTTCTTTTCCATTCAGAAAGCGCAGACATGTCCTTTCTATCCAGCCTGCATCCAGGAGGGTGGGATGGTGCCAGCCCTCAGGAAAGCCCGGTGGAAGCTCCCATGTCTGGGCTGGAGACTGCACAGACCCGAGGCTCAGAACTCCCAGTCATCCACCTCGAGCTCTTCCATGTTTGTGATGAGGCCGAAGATGTCATTGTGATCTTGAGCTAGGTTGCCCTCGAAATTGGCAAAGGGGTTAACAGGACGAAGCAATTCCGGCAAAGCCTCTGAGGCACGTCGCTTGATCTGGGGGAGCAGAGAGAGAGGTGGGTGATGCATCCTATTGCTCTGGATAGCAGGACACCACAGGGCCATAAGGCTCCTGGAGCCAAGAGTCTCTTTGAGGAAGGAGCAGTGCTTTTAAGGGCTTCAAAACATAGGCACTTCTCCCAGTTCAATGGGAGGAGGAAAGACAGCACATCTAAAGACCATGCAGCTAACGGGGCTGTGGTAGTAAGAACTATAGGCAAGAAGAAACCGGAAGCTAAGAGAAAGTGCTACTGTACCTGCTTGAAGAAAGAATGGTTCAGGAGGCTGCTGGCGCTTGGTCTGTAGAGAAAGCAGAGACCAGAGTCACTCCCAGGCCCCTGTGCTCCGAATCCTGGCCCTGACACTTTTTCAAGTGGCTCCACTGACCAACATATGACAGACAGAGCTGCCTTCTGGCTTCTTCACAACTCGGCCCCCCTGACCCCTCCTGCTGTGGGAGCCCAGCCCTCCACAAGATAGGCCCAGCCTGGCTTTGGGGCCAGAGCTCCCTCTGCTCCCTGGATAGCTCCGCCAACCCCAGCTCTATGGAAATACCTTGCATCCGGGTTGCGCTGAAGGCACTGCTCCACAAAGTGGTGGAAGTGGGGCGAAAAGGTGCGGTTATAGGGGTGGGAGGGCGAGTCACCGTTGGAGGCCCTGGGGGTGCTGGGGGCCAGGCTCTCATTCAGGCCCGAGTTGGCTCCCGAGCGTGAGGTGCTCATGGTCAGCTCCTCGGCAGGGATGGTGCTGGTGTCCAGCAGGCAGGGCACTGTGCCGTTCAGTTTCTCCAGCAGCATCTAGGGAAGACAGAGCCAAGACCTGGCCTGGAGGGGGGCCCCTGGAAGGCCTACAGTGCTGCTTCACAAATACATCTCCCAGGAGACCAATAGGGTGTCTTAGGAGTAGAGAGAACATGGAAGTTGAATAAGCCTTCGTTTTCCCAGGGACCCTGACTGGCTTGGTGACTACAGTCTACACCAAACTAGAGGGGAGCCAGAAGGAGATTGCACAAAAGACCCCCTATACTAGGAGTCCTGGGATGGTGCTGTAGGATAAGCACTGGACTGCAAGGTTAGTTTGAACCAGAGGGTTGGTGGTTCAAAGTCACCAGCTGCTCCTCGGACACCATACACAGGGTCCGGAAGAGTCAGAACTGACTTGCCAGCACTTCACAGCAACAGCATTGCACTAGGGCTCATAGAAAGGGCACGGTTTCCTTTCCCCTTCTCTAAGGCATCAAATCCCCTTCATTTACAGACCCCTCACCTCTGTGGAGGTAACAGCCAAGTGACTCTCCAAAGACCAGCCAGGTTACCAAGCCCAGGTCAGTCCTCTGGGGTTCAGCGCACAGCACTAGAACAGTGCTCCTAGGAGCAGGCCCAGACTCAACATAGCTACCTGTCCCCATGAACCTTCTAAACTGTCAGATGTTCTACCTTCTGGCCTCTGGGTGTTTGCAAATGCTATTCCGTCTGTTTGAAAGAGGCTCCTTCTAAGCCCCATTCTTCACACCATAGTTCCTGTTTGCCTTCAAAACTCCAATGTCAACGTCCCTCCTGGGGGCCCCTGCCTGCAGTCCCCCCTTGGGCCCTGCTCTCGAGGGCTCTACTTTATCCAGCCTCTTGCTGCAACCCTCCCTGCAGGGTCAGGGGTCTGTAGGCTCACTCACGGCCTGGGTGCCCTCCTAGTTCTAGACCACTCCCCAGGTACCTGGAACCCAGGTAATCCATGCCCAAAGGACCCCAAGTTCACATTCTGGACCTGTTGAGACATGAATGAGCCTCTTTCCTACATCTGTCCTCCCAAGGGGAGCCTGAACCACTGGTTCTGCACCCCTAGTCCTAGGTAGGGGAAGTCCAAGGGCAGCAAGCTACAGGAACAGAAGTTGAACTTGCAAGTTGTAGGTTCCCACGGTATGTATGGGTCTGAATGTGAAGGCATAGAAGTGTGAGACTTCTGAGGATTCGTACTTGTAAACTCACCTTCCAAGTTTACGTAACAAGGGAGGGGGACAACATATTTTACCAATGTATAAACACAAGTTAGCTTGGTTTCTACTTTTAAACAGACAAGAGGTATGTGGGCTCCCTTTGCTCCCCCACTTGGGGCCCTGGCCCACTCAGGAGTGTCCTCCTCATGCTCTAGCATTTGTCACATGGAGAAGTCCGGTGCCCACCGAGCTCCCCCAGGGAACAGAACTTCATCTTAGCGACCCTGGTTGTGTCCTAAGTGTGGTGGGCACTCGACAGACATTTGTGGCCGATAGGCAGGCAACTCTGGGTTGCAGGCTCACCTGGGTGGCAGGCATGTCCTTAAAGGGCACGTGGCCATTGGCCAGTTCACAGGCTGTGATTCCCACACTGTAGATGTCAGACTTGGCATCGTAACCCTGAAGATTCTAAATTAGGAGAAAAAAAGCCACAGATGACTCAATTTGGCCTTTGTTCTCAGAAGAAAGGGGCGGGGCAAAGACTGAGGAGAGGAAGAGCGCCTGTTCCCAATCAGAAACAGCTGCTAAAGGTCCCTTTCTTCCTGCTGAAGAGTAACTCTCTCTTTTCAAAGGAACAAAAGCCTGGTGATGTTATGTACTAAGCACAAAGGCATGCAGGGCCCCATGCTGCTGCTCAGAAAGAGATCCAGAAAGCAGTTATGAGATGGTGGCTCTTCCCCATGATGGGGAGGAACTCTGAAGGGAGTTGCAATAGCAGCATGGGCTGTCTGAAATAGGGAGAGTATGGTCACCTGTGATGGGCAGGGAATGGCCTCTCTGAGTGGCTCCCAGATACACCTGTCCAACAGGGAGACCCCTCCCCTCCCCACCGCCCCATCTGAGACCACTCAGAAGGGGAGAAGGCTCCCATCAATCAATTCCTGAAGGCTTCCTTGTCAGCCAAGAACTGAGAGGGAGTGGGGCTCCTTGGGACCCAGGACACACACCTGCTGGAGGACCTCCGGGCTGAGCCAAGGCAGACCTTTGATACTGTACTTGGGGAAATCGTGGACCACACGCTGCCGCTGCCCATGACTGATCATGCTGAGGTTGCTGCGTAAACCAGACAGGTAGACCTTCCCTTCCACAGAGATCAGGATGTGGCTGGCTTTGACACTCCTAGGGAGGTAGGAAGGGGTGTCATGGGGTAGCAGAAACCTCTCATGCTACCAACTTCTGGTCTTCACACTCTAGGTCCAGCCAGGTGGGTGTGGGTGTGCATGTGATGCATGTATGCATGTACATTATGTATTTATAAACAAAGATTTTATGAAAGATGTCAAGAACAAACATAAAAAAGAAAAGAGAGTATGACCCCATTTACCCATCACCAGATTTAACAGCTACTGTCTTGTTAGGCTTCCTTTTATGCTCATAGGCCACTTCTTCCTCTACCTCCCACTACAGCTCTCCACCTGTACTTTCTTTCTGCAGGCATTCTTATAAAGTGTATCCCTACTTTGTAGGCACATGTTTGAAATCCACCTAGCAGAACTGTTACACATCTCAGTCCTCCTTTTCTCACACAGTCCTGTTTCAAGATTAATCTGCACCAGCTACCCTTTGCTTCTTGTTACTGCTTTGTACTCAGGTTATTTACTAGTCATTCTCCCAGTGGGGTACACTCACACTGTCCAAAGTCACCACAAATCTGAGCACTTGCATGGCATACCCTGTCCACTCTGGGCCTGTGTGGAGGCTTCTTTTGGGTGTCCTGAGTTCCGCCTCCTGCCACCTGGACAGGAAGGCTCCTGTTACACGGGCTTATCTGACTTGCTAATTCTTGCCGGTCCATGGGCATAGTGTGACATCCTGCTTTCATTTTCTTTTCTCGGATTTGTGCCCTGCTCTTGCTCAGTACAAAGATCCAGAAAGCAGTTCCCATGTGTTCACTGACTTTCCACGTGATGGGAAGGATCTCTGAAGGGAATTGCAATAACATCAGGTACATTTAGAATAAGGAGCTCTGGTAGCATAGTGGTTACGAACCAGGCTGCTAATCTCAAGGTCAGCAGTTTGAAACTACCATTGTCCACGGGAGAAAGATAAGGCTTTCTATTCCCGTAAAGATTTATAGCCTTGGAAACCCTGTACAGGGTTGCTATGAGTTGGAACCCACTCCATGGCACACAACAACATTTAGAATGCCAGAGGGGAGAGTGTATCCGCCTGTAATGGGCAGGTAAAGGCCTCGCTGAGTGGCTCCCCAGTACCCCGAGCTTGTATGTCTTCATGGTTGTTAGTCTTTCAGGTTTCCTCTTTGCTAACCTTCACAGCCTTTGCACACTTCTTATTGCTTTGCTGACTAGCAAGATTTCCTTGTTACTAATCTTCTATGTTTCAAAGCAAATGTCTTCCCTCTGTCAACACATCTTACTAACCAGGCTCATGGTGCCCTTTGTTAGATAGAAAGCTTTAGTCTCGATGTAATCAAATTCATCAATTTTTGGTCTTTTGTGCTTCTAAGACTTTAAAAAGCTCTTCCACACCTCCAGTTAGAAAACTCTTTCCTCACATTTGCTTTTTCTTTAGCCTGTAATTTTACGTTTAGGCCTTCAATCCATCTGGAGTCCTCATCTGCATGTGGAATTAGGTAGAAATCCAGGTTTATTCAATCCCCTGCCGTGGGCTGACTCTCCCAACACCACCGACTAAGCAGTCCCTGTTTTCCCCAGGCCCCTCAGACAGAGGACACACTCTGCTCAGACCCCAGACTGGGCACACCAAGGAAGGGATTATGTGAGGACATGTCAGATGGTCCTGTCATTCAGAACTGAGCAGCTCAGTGAAGAGAAAGCTGCCAGGCTCAATGAGGCAAGCTAGGTCCAGACCCTTGACTTCAAACTCTGCCTTCACTAATGGTAGTCAGCTCTCCGTGGTTTACTTGAGGACTCAGGGGCACGAACACCTACTGTAGCGAAGGATGAACGCATTTGCGAATGTACCTGTGTACGTAGCCCATGTGGTGGACGTAGTCCAGGGCCTTCAGCACCCCCTGCAGGATGTACGCGATCGCCAGCTCACTCAGACCGTCCATGAAGTGTGTACAGATAAGGTCCTTGGCAGAACCTGTAAGAAAGAATTTGGGGGCGATACAGGAAAGGCAGCAGAGAAGGAAAACAGCATACAAACAGTTGGAAAACAAAATTCTCTGTCTGGACTTGTAGAAATAGCACTCCCCACTTACCATATGCCATGAAAGATGTGACCACCCACAGTTCATTGTTTGCAATAAAGGTGGCTCGATATGGCACGATATTGGGATGGTTGAAGAGTTTAGAGACATGAAGCTCCCCCTGAAAGCAATGGTAAAATTGAAGTCAGAACCAAGGAGCAGTGTAGAATGGAGCTTCAGTGAAGGGGCCGCCTATGCAAGTTCCCTCCAGTCTCGCCATGCCTCAGTCTCAGCTGTAAATTGGGAATGATAATAACAGCCCACGTTATATGCTATTATGGGAGTTAATTTAAATGATGTAAAGCATTTAAAACAGTAATTGGCATGTAAGAACTCCATGTTTATTTTTATTATAATTAATAGTAAATGTTGGCTTTAAATGAATAAAAGGAGCCCTGGTGGCCCAGTGGATGAGTGCTGAGCTGCTAATCTAAAGGCCACTCCAATGAAAATGATGTGGCAGCTGCTTCCATAAAGACAGCCTTGGAGCCCCTATGGAGCCCCTACTTGGTCTAGCATGGAGCCCCTACTCTGTCCAGCATGGAGCCCCTACTCATATCCAGCAGGGTTGCCATGAATTGGAATTGATTCAATGGCAACAGGGTTTTGGTATAAATAAATTAAGTGACCCAGAATGGAGCCTTTGGGGAAGAAGGGGGAAATATAAATTGGGCTGAGCAGCATTACAGAATCCTTGGTATCAAACTCCTGAGATTCTCCACTGAAAGCAGCCATAACTCTGAACATGTGGTCTGCGTGTGAGCAGGTGGTTACAGAGGACAAATGCCAGGGGTGCCCAGGAATGATACCAGGGCAGAGAGCCTGCCCTCCAAGGGCCACCCTCACATTTTCTTACCTGCAAGAAAGTCACCATCTCATTGGAACAAGCTTCCAGGTTAATCCTCCGCACCGTCACATACTCGCCTGTTGGTTTGTACCTTGCTAGATTCACTGTCATCAGGTCCTCAAATCCTTTCCCTGAAAGAAAGGACTTCCATGAACAAGAACAGTACCAATGGTTTTCATTTTTCTTAGAGAATAGGAGATTTGATTTTTTTTAAGCCAAGTGACATTTACTCCTCTAGTTTTCTTATGAGACATTTCTCAAGCAGCCATTCTAACTGCCACAGTCACCCGAGGAACAGAATCAGAAAAAACTAGAGGAACTTTCTCTCCTAAAATGATCTCTTTCCATGTTTGGCAGTACACCAAGGAGGACCCCCAGCAGCAGTTTTGTTGGCATCCGTCCTGCTGCCTAGTCTGGTTACTCACTCATCTAGGGACCCCGAGAACCGCAGTGATAGCTGAAACAAAGTAATGGGGGACCTGGACATTACCTATAGTGGTGAGTAGCTCATAACACTCTCCTTCTGGCTGAACGTTGCTCATGGTCTCTTGTTTAGAGATAGAGGCTATGGACTCTGAGCTCGCCTCATTGGTCTAGAGAAGAAGAGAACTAGGTTAGGAAGTGCGTACTAGGAGTGGGGTGGGGAAGCTGTGTCTCACACTCAGGAGTCTGAGTACACACACAAACCCTGACTCAGGGAAGGAAATATTGAAAAGAAATGCAGAGTCAAACTTCAGCTGTTTGATAGAGCCATCAGTGCTAATATGAGAGCAGACAAGGGTTGAGGCCATCCCCAAAAATGGGGACCAGAGCCAGTTCCACTCAACTGTTGGCTCGCTTGTTCTTTCCAACAACTGACTCATTTTTTTAAAACTGAAAATTTTGCAGGAAAGGATGACTAGAAAAAGGCACATCTGAAAGAAAAAAAAGATGGAGGCGGGGTGTGGTCTCTGGGATTTATGTCCTGCCTACCAGATCCCAAATACTGAATCTTGCTAAAGGGAAAGCAAACAAAAAACACAAACCAGTCGCGAAGTTTCCCAGTGAATGTGAGAACTGCTACACGCTACACTGGGTTCCTGAGGGAACTGAGCTGTCCAACTTCTCAGCCATATTCTTGGCAGCTGCAGCCTTGCCCACTCAAGCTGCAAGTGAAGTTGGAGTCCAGCCATTCAGGGTGTGGATGTCACACCTCTGGCCTAAAAGAAGTTGCCCAGGGCAGCTCAGTAATTCTAACTGTCACAGGCTTGATTTCCTTCTTTCAGAGGGAAATCTGTAAGACTTCAGGGCTGTTGAGAATCCTTTGTTCAGCTCTGGGTCTAACTGAGTTGGAGAAGTCAGAGGCCAGGTCATGTTTCAAAATATGACCTCTAGTGAGGAAAGGCTCCTGGCTCAGCACTAGTGAAAGGGTGCAAATTAAATGCCCTGAATCAGGGAAGCGGCTCTGCAGCGGAGCTCATACAGCAGTAGTGCTATCCTGGTGTGGCGCTGTGGGTTAATGCGCTGGACTACAAAGTCGGTTTGAACCACAAGGTCAGCAGTTCAGGCTTTCCAGTCACTCCTCAGAAACCCTCTACAGGGTCGCAATAAGTCAGAACCAACTAGACGGCATTTAACAACATATATAGCATCTGTGGTTTGACCAGCATGTATTTCAGAGCACCTCCACAATGTATATGACGGTCACCACAATTCAGTGTACTATATGGGACCGATACCATATCCATTCTTCAGTAACATATGTGACGGATAGGGAGAGTAAGTGGCTTGCCAAAAGTAAAAATGCTGACTGTCCAGCAGACAGAATTCAGACCCAAGCCAGTGAAATAATATGCCACCTATATTGGGTCCCTGGCATTGAATGTGTATCTGGTTTCAAAAAAGTCAATGTTGCAGATGGGGAAAGTAACCCAAGTCAGGCTCTGCTTCCCTCATTTCTGACACTCAAAATAACAGCAACCTAGTTGTCACAAATTGAATCGTCCCCCTAAAATATCTGTCAGCTTGGCTGGACCATGATTTTCAGTGGTTTGGCTGTTAAGTGAAGGTCCTTACAAGGCCTTCCTCCAGCATCAACAGAGAAAGCCTTCCCCTAGAGCCAACACTCTGCCTTTGGACAGCTAACCTCCTACGTTGTGAGAAAGGAGCTCCAGGTACCCTCCTGTGGGCTTACCATGGGGATGGGGAGCTGTTCTAACAAATGCCCTAAAACATTGATGTGGTTTTGAATTGAGTAATGAGTAGAAGCTGGAAGTTTCTGGGTTTGTTTTTTTTTTCTCCTGCCATTGGCCCAAATGTATTTTATTGTCAGGAAACTAGCATGATGAACATCATAAATTTACACTGCAGAATAATCAATAAGGACCATAATTTACATATGACATTTAGAGCTCAATTCTGATAGTTTCAAAGTTTCTATGAAATGTAATGACTCTTGGCTGGGTAGGGTTTGTATCAGTCTTTGCTCTTTTACTTCAATATCTTTACCATGTACAGAAAACTCCTTTCTTCTATTTTCGTGACTCTGTCACCCCTTTGGTTTCTGGAACAATCACATGTGTGCACTTTTTATTAAGGTTCTGTTGATAGTCCCTCACCATAGAATGTAACTAAAGCCCACAGAGCATTTCAGTCTTCACATGGCAGCTTTACAACAGGTAAATCAAAGGCTCCCCAAGTTTTTCCAACCTCCAGGCTGTTTCTATCTTCTGAAATGACAGGTGAGTGAGGCTAGTGCCCTGTAGAAGACTTCCTTAGCTTTCACAGTTGGTAGAAGCTGAATCAATGTCTAGAGTGTAATACTTGAGCTCTCTGAACATTTCCTTAGGAACTTTTGACTCCTGGTCCAATATGATCCTGGCCGCTTACTAGTGTCCTTGGATCTGGAAGAATCCACAATGACACCCACCTCAGTCCCATCCACCCTCTCAAGCTGCAAGAGTTTGAAGTGACTAAAGCCTGAACCACTTTGAAGAGACTATTGGTAGACTTATGGATGTCAAAGGCAATCGAGGGTTCATCAGAAAGTGGAGAGCTACAGATGTCCATCATGTTAAAGAATACATATGGCACCAGCAACAGAATGTTGCTAGAAGTGTGGACATCAAATGTGCTTCTGATGAGGTTTTAAAAGGAAATGATGCACATGTAATTGGACAATGACTGAAAGGTGATGCTTTTTATGCAGAAGCAAAGAATCTGTTTGAATTATGTCCAAATTTTGGTGGAAAGTAGAATCTGTAAGCGATAAGCCTGGCTATTTGGCTGAGGAGATCTCTAAGCAAGAACTTAAAGGCGCTGTGTGGTTTCTTCTTGCCACTTAAAGTGTGAGAGCAAAGAGATGGATTGAAACATGAACTGTACAAAATGAAAACTAAATTTAAAGACATGGAAAATTCTACTGTACAAAATAAGGACATGTATCCTAGAACTTCCAGCAAAGATGTGGCTAAACTATCTTTTGTTAAAGCTGAGGTCGTGCCAATGCCCAAGGAATCTGCTAGGGCTGAGGGGATTGGGGATGCCATTCAGATGGACTAAGAGAATAGGGCTGCCCATAACCAAGGGGCCAGAGGTTCCTCTCCAACGGGCCTGGAGAACCAGAATCTGGATGACATAGCTAACACCCAAAACCTAGAAGTCAGGACCATTGTCCAGATAGTCTCAAAGACTAGATGATTGTTTTCAAACCTTGAGAGCTAAGTCCCTTTGTTCTGCTGGGTTCTGAGCTTGCTCAGTGACAGTCATCATTTTTCTCTCCAATTGCTCTCATTTGTGATAGAAATGTCTACCTCGTGTCTGTTCTACCATGGCGCTTTGGAAGCAGGTCATGTATTCTAGATTTTACAGGTTCACAGATGAAGAAAAATTTATTTAGTCCCAGAATGGAATATGCCCAAAGTTTCACCTATATTTGATTTAGATGATTCTTTGGAGTGTGGGACTCTATTCAGAGAAGCAATGATGCCAGAGATGGAGGCACAGATGATGATGTGGAGAGATGGAGCAGCTAGGGGCTCTAGACTCATGGAGGGAGAGGGGCTGTGTGCTGGTGGCCAGGGGACAGGCTTGCAGGGTATGCCCTTTTGTTGTTTGAATGACTATATATTCCTGAGTGTTTTCTGTGTACATCTAAAAAAGAAAACAGAGGGGCTAGAAGCACATACTGTTGAATGATGATGCATGGAGGGGACTGTAATCATTGCAATGAAATGAAACATGATAGGATGAATGTAAAACATGTTCTTCCATGTAAACAATCACTCAGTTCACAATAAAAACTTAAAGAAAAGAAATTCCCAAACTATTGTGCTTATGTAGAACCTGTACATAGACTACGAGGCAGTCATTTGAACAGTACAAGGGGCTACTATGTGGTTTTAAATTGGGAAAAGTTTGTCAGGTTATACCCTTTCATCATAACTTATTCATTCTGTATACTGACTAAGCAAATAATCTGAGGAACTGGAGGATATTTAGAAGATTGTGGCATATACATTGGAGAAAGGCTCACTAACAACCTGTGATTTGCACTTACTCATAAAGATCAAAGACTATAAAGCCTTAAGTATGGATTACAACTCAATGTAAAGAAAACAACTTATAACCAGACTAATAAACATCATGATCAACACGGAAAATACTGAAGTTGTCAAGGATTTAACTTTACTTGTATCCATAGGCAATGCCCATAGAAGCAGCAGTCAAGAAATCAAATACCAACTTGTACTGGACAAATCAGTTGCAAAAGACCTCTTCCTTTCAAGTGTTAAAAAGCAAGGGTGTCACTGGGGGAACTAAGGTGCACCTGACCCAAGAAATGGCATTTTCAGTGGTCTCCTATGCATGAGAAATCTGAACAATGAATAAGGAAGACTGAAGAAAAATGGATTCCTTTTCGATTAAGATGATAGTGAAAAATACTGAATGCTATTGTATACTGAATAAAAATATTGAACACGGACTGCTAGAAGAACAAACATAACTGTCTTGGGAGAAGTTCAGCTAGAATGCTCCTTAGAAACAAGAATGGAGACTTTTGGTGTCCCATACTTTGGCTATGTTATGAGGAGGGACCAGTATCCAGAGAAAGGTATCATACTTGACAAAGTAGATGGTCAGTGAAAAAGAGGAAAGCTCTCTCAATGAGATAAATTGACAGAGTGGCTGCAAACAATGAATTCAAACAGGGATGACTATGAGGATGGTGTAGGACTTGGCAATACTTTGTTTTGTTGTACAGAGGATCACTGTGAGTTGGAACCAGCTTGATGGCATCTAACAACATACTTGTGGATGGGATCCTTCATTATGTTAATGAGGCCATATCTGGGTCCTCAGGTGCCATCTGGGTAGGGTGTGTCTTAAGCCTGTTGTTATATGCCGTGGTGTCGGTTCCGACTCATAGAGACCCTGTACAGGGTTTCCGAGGCTGTAAATGTTTACTGGAGCAGAAAGCCTCATCTTTCTCCTGTGGAACAGCTGGTAGTTTCAAACTGCCGACCTTGTGGTTCGCAGCCCAATTTGCAATCACTAAGTTACCAGAGCTCCTTTTAAGCCTATTACCACTGAGATATAAACCATTAGCTGATTAGGCAAAACTGGAAGCTGAGATGGGGGAAGACACATGCCAAGCCACATGCTGACTGGCCCAGAAGTTCAGAAGAGACAAGAACCTGCCTACGGAACTGACTAGAAAAGCCTTCCCCTGGGCTGGCATCCTGAATGAGGACTTTTAGCCTCATAAATTGTGAAAAACTAAATTTCTGCTTACTAAAGAAATAACTTATGGCTATTTCTGCTACAGCAACATTAGATAACTAGACATGCTGTAAATCATGCCAATAGACACATTTTTTAATCACCTAAGTCCTCTCTTCCCTGTCAGGAACACATATAAGACACACTACAGTACTATATGCCAAAGACATGTTCTTGTGGAGCCTAGGAAGGAAATGGTTAAACTACTGACTAGTTAGTAACCTGACAAGCATTTCTACTATCTTTGTTGAGTCCAAATAATTACTCAGGTGTTGAGAGGTCATTGGGAATAAGAATCCAGGGACAATCTGGAATTGCATGACATTAACCAGTGGTTGCTGTGGTTCCTTTTTCACAATGTTCTAACTCGCTGGAAATCATTTCAATTGGAGGCTACTTAATGACTCTTTTAAGTGACTCTGTATCTCTTCCGTATAAGTCTCTGCTGATTACCTAAAACTTTTGCTATATGAGAATTTTAAAGTTTAAAAAAAACAAACAAAATGTGCAAGCGGGCCTCTATTAAGACTCCCAGCATCCCTACTACAACTAGCAGTCTGCCAAGTGTAACACACAGAGGGTATTTTCAGGAAGTTCAAAGGAAATAGGAATGGTTTGATTGCCACAGAAAACATTATATTGTTTCAGAATTAAAGGTCAAAATTCAAATCAGGGGAAAAGGATGAGACATTTAGCCCATTCTCTTTAAACACAGTATGGCAATTCACTCCTGTAATGTAAAATCTCAAATTGTCTTGAGAAAGAAATGAATTCGGTTAAAGTCTTTCTCTTAGTTTCCCCACCCATGAAAAATATTTTATTCAATTTGAAACATCTGAAAAATATACAAGCTGCTGATATCCAGAAATGATAAATTTATAACTTTGTTTAAAGAGTTAAAATTAAAACTTTATTTAAAAGAGAATACAATATGAAGCATACGGAAAAACATGAGATGATACCAAATAAACACATTCAACCACCCACAGGTTTCACCTAGGATAAATTTTGGTATAACACTGGTACTTACGAAAGTATAAAAACGATACAGAGTTGGCATTATATTCTGGAAAAATTGCGAATTGATTCTATAGGGAAGATTTTGGTCTCTTGATTGTAAAATATTTTAATCTTGATAAGACAGGCGCCCCTGACTAGCAAACTACAGAAGCACAACTCTGGAAGTTCATGGTCAACTCTATCCTCCTTCACTCTGCAACTTGTGTTCATCTGACAAGAGGAGAAAGTCTACTTAGCCAAGTGTTTTTACCCTCTCTGTCAAACACTCATAATATCAAAAACAGTATGGTACACTGTATATTGGTTGCCACTTCCTTAGGTAAAATAGACTTGAAAAGTAGGAAGTGGGGCAAGAGTCTTGCTATTCTGTCAATGAAAAAAAAAAATCAGTATTCAGTCTTATGTTTTTTTAATGTTTAGTTTTGCCTTTAAGGTGGGATATTCCAGGCTCTCCTTTTGATCTTGACCAAGATCGATATTATCTATATGGATTGAAATAGATTAATAGATTACAGAAGGAAAATGCAGTACCATCAGCCACTAAAAGACAACTACAGTTTGTCTGTTAAAACTTTTGTTTTGGGAAGGGGCTGGTAGATGGTCAATAGATGTAGGAAGCAGGGGATGAAGAGACCTTAATTCCCAGGGAAGAGAAATAAGTATATGAGACTTCATTTTTTTTAAAACTAAACATCAAATTTTTTTCCAGGTGAAACCTGCATTCTCACAAACAAAAGAATAACACTACAAATAACAGCTCAATGACAGGTAAGCAGCAACATAAAATGTGAAGTCAACAGAACACACAAATGTCCACGAAAAGTTCCCTCCATGCAACAGCCATAGGACTAGAGCCTAGAAAATCACTTACTTTTCTCCGAGTGTCACCCGGAGGCTGCTCTGGAGTAGAGAAATTGATTGTTGGCATTTTGTGTTTTTATGCAGAAGACACACCCATATTCAGAAGAACAATTATGGCACTCAGGACTACACTTACTAATAGAAACCAGTAGAAACGCGGCCGATAAATGAGGTTTTCAATGGGAATCTTAGTCTCATCAAAACTTGGCAACCCGACTTACTACTATATGGGTGGGTATCCTCTACTGGGTAACCCGAAACTGTGACAATTCTGCTTATGTGTTCATAAGTACACGAAGTTACTTTCAATACACTGGTTGCTGAGTCTTAAACTTTGTGAACAAAACATTCCACCTAAAGTGAAAAGATAGTTGTTTTCCCCGGGAGTGCAGAGACTAAAAATCAGGTTTAAAAAAATAGTATAGAAACTTCTATGAGAGACACTTTGATTTTCCAAGTGGATACATTCTATTCTGAGTGCAAATCATGGGTTTTTTGACACTGCTGCTTTTAGTGGAAAATGACACCTTTTTGCTCTTTAAGTCAGATAAATTTTGAATCTCTGCTTGTCGTTTTCTCCATTCCGTAAAAGTGATCAAACTCATCGGAGAAGATGACTTTTCACTGTAAAGAGTTAGGGAGTTACATATTTCTAAATACTTTATACAGCTTCAAATAGCTTAAACTATAAAAATCATAGCAGCACATCTAGTCACAAAGGAAAATGCTTCTCCAGGGTACATTACAGTATCCACCGAGTTAATGTAGCTATTGCTGCAGAGCAGCAGCAAAGTGGAGTCAACTGGGCTCAAGATAGGATTTTTCCCCCCACTTGGACATCAATTTTCTAATATACAAATGGCAGGAGCAGCTCCTTGAGACAATTTGTCAAAATTAAGAAGCCTGGTGAATGGATGAAAGGAAACCTAACTACATGTTTCACAGTAAAAAGAAATGTCCAAGTTGTATAATAACAACTATAAACATTATATAGAAAGCCCTCCTCAGATCAGAAGACAGTGTCCCTAAACTCAAGACATAGAAAACAAAACAAATTCAATTTACATACATTAGAATACTTGTAACTTCTTCGTTGTAAACTAACTTCTGAGTTGATACCCATCAATGCCAGTGTTTACTTTAAAATCATTTTATTCCCATTAATGACAGGAAGAGAAAGAGAATAGCACTAGAATACAGGGTTTTTGTTCCATTAGTCCTTACTTTACCGTGACTTTAACTAGAACAAAAAGAATTCATCATTTTTAAGGTGTTCATTTGTCTAAAATACAACACTTGGACAAAGTTCACTTAAAATGCTACTCCAAAAGTTCTTTGAGAAGCATTAGGGAAAATAATCGATATTATCTAGTAACGAACAAGTTTGAGTTTTCAATTACTTAAGCCTATTTGGGGACATCCTGCTGTTGATTTTGTTTCTGTTGATTTGTGACTTAAGAGATCCCAAGGGTTATTGAGAAGAACTGCTCCCTAGGCTTTTCTTGGATGTAATCTTTTTTTTTTAAGGTTTTTATTGTAGATTGAGTGAAAGTTTACAGGGCACATCATCATTGGATGTAATCTTTATGGAAACTAATTTCCAGGCATTTTTCTTCTACATTACTGCTGGGTGAGTTTGAACAAGCAACCAGTTGTGCTGCCCAGGATCCTGTATTTTTCTTCCATCAGTAAACCAATGCATTCAACCTGGCAACCTATTCCTTTAGCTATATAGAATACTAAGGATAGAAAATATTGGTTCTCAGATATAAAGAATTATTAAGTGTCACTGAGTTGATTCCGACTCATAGTGACCCTGTACAATGATTCTGAAGAGCAGCTGGTAGGTTTGAACTGCCAACCTTGTAGTTTACAGTCTACTGCTGATCCTACAGCACCACACCAGGAGTCATATAGAATACAGCCCTGCTATTACTAATTGTGGTCCAGTGGTGAGGATTTTTGTTTTCTTTACATTGAGGTGCAACCCATATCGAAGGCTGTGGTCTTTGTTCTTCATCAATAAGTATTTTAAGTCCTCTTCACTTTCGGCAAGCAAGGTTGTATCATCTGCATATCGCAGGTTGTTAATGAGCCTTCCTCCAATCCTGATGCTACGTTTTTCCTCATATAATCCAGTTTCTCTGATTATTTGTTTAGCATACAGATTAAGTATGGTGAAAGAATACAACCCTGGGGCACACCTTTCCAAATTTTAAACCATTCAGTGTTTCCTTGTTCTGTTCGCACAACCGCCTATTGATCTATGTACAGATTCCTCATGAGCACAATTAAGTGTTACGGAATACTCATATTTCACAATGTTGTCCATAGCTTGTCATGATCCACACAATCAAAAGCCTTTGCAGAGTAAATAAAGCACTGGTAAACATCTTTCATATATTCTCTGCTTTCAGCCAAGATCCATCTGATGTCAGCAATGGTATCCCTCGTTCCACATCCTCTTCTGAGTACAGCTTGAGCCTCTGGAAGTTCTCTCTCAATGTATGGTTGCAGCCGTTTCTGAATTACCTTTAATAAAACTTCACTAGCATGGGTTATCATGATATTGTCCAATGATTTCCACGTTTCATTGGGTCACCTCTCTTTGGAATGGCACAAATACAGATGTCTTCCAGTCAGTTGGTCAGGTAGTGATCTTCCAAATTTCGTGGCATGGATAAGTGAGTGCCTCCAGTGCCTCTTCACTTTGTTGAGAGATTTCAATTTGTATTCCATGTATTCCCAGGGCCTTATTCTTTGCCAATGACTTCAATGCACCTTGAACTTCTTTTAGGGTCATTAGCTCTTGATCATATGCTACCTCTTGAAATGGCTGGACATCAACCATTTCCTTTTGGTACAGTGACTCTGCTTATTCCTTCTATCTTCTTTTGACGCTTGCTTCATCATTCGGTATTTTGCACATAGAATCCAATACCACAAGCCAAGGTTTGAGTTTTTTCTTCAGTTCCCTCAGCTTGAGAAATGCTGTGTGTTCCTCTTTTGGTTTTCTGACTCCAAGTCTTGGCACATATTGTTATATTTGACTTTGTCTTCTTGAACTGGCCTCTGAAATTTTCTGTTCAGCTCTTGTGCCTCCTGACTTCTTCCATTTGCTTTTTTAGCATCTCTATGCTGGAGAGAAAGTTTCAGAGTCTCTTCTGACATCCATTTTGGTCTTTTTCTTCTCTTGTCTTCTCAATGACCTGTTGCTTTCTTCCTGTATTATGTTCTTGATAACATCCTACAACTCTTCTTGTCTTTGGTCTTTAGTGTCTAATACATCGAATCTGTTCTTCAGATGACCTCTAAATTAAGGTGGGATATATTCAAGGTCATATTTTGGCTCTCTTGTACTTGTTTTCATTTTCTTCAGCTTCAGCCTGAATTTGCATGAGCAACAGTCTGCTCCTGGACTTGTTTTGGCTGATGATATGAAACTTTTCCAATGTCTCTTTCCACAGATGTAGTCAATTTGATTCTGTGTATTCCATCTGGTGAGATCCATGTGTATAGTTTTTGGGTTTTTTTTTTTTGTGAATTGAGTGATAGTTTACATGGGAGAACATCAGTTTTACACTCATTGTTTCATTGTGATCTCCTCCATGAATCATCATTCAGCAGTATTTGCTTCTATTCCCTCTGGGGGGGGGGGGAAGAAATGTACACTAAAACACTCAGGAACATATAATCATTTAAACAACCCAAGGCACATTCTGCAAGCCTGCCTCCTGGCTGCCAGCACACAGCCTTTCTCTTCCCATGTGTCTTGAGTCCTCAGCTGCTCTCTCTCCATGTCCTCATCTCTATCTCCATCTCTGGTGTCACTGCTTCTCTGGATAAGCTCCCACATTCTTCTCATACTCTTCTCCTTTGATGGTCCTAAATTCCTCTGTTCCTGGGCTGCAAGATTAACTACTCCTCCCCTTTTTGTTACAAAACTTCTACCTTTTCAGTTGTGACAACTGCAATTAGTCATGATAACAGTTACTATTGAATCATAAAAATCTTTTCCCATCTCTTTTCACCAGACCCGTCTAGACAAGATGAAAACTGTTCAGTGGGGACTGTATCTTCCTCTGCACACTCTGAAACTAAACTCCCTCTTGAAAACTTGTAATCCAGTCAGTTCGAGCCTTTATTGCCTCCCTCCCCACCCCCCTATAATGGTTTTTTATGCTGTGTAAAAAAGGTATTTGCAATGAAGAAGTCACTGGTCTTGCAAAATTCTATCATGTAATCTCCAGCATCATTTCTATCACCAAGGCCATATTTTCCAACTACTGATCCTTCCTCTTTGAAGAATGGTGGTGTAATAGAGTATGCGTTGATTGGGCTGCTAACGGCAAGGTCAGCAGTTTGAATCCACCAGTTGCTCCAAGGGAGAAAGAAGAGGTTTTCTGCTTCTGTAAGATTTATAGTCTAACAAACCCTGTGTAGGATCACTATGAGTAAGAATCGACTCAGTGGCAGTGGGCTTTTTTATTTTTATTTTTATAGACAATAAATTTCTTTACCTAAAATTAAGATTACAGTTACCCAGGAAAGACTCTTTTTTTAAATGGCCAAAGGGAAATGCCTGAGCCTGCTAAACTTCAAAGTGATAAACCTTCTTCACTTACAAAATCAACATTTAAACATATTTTACAACAGGAATTTAATATTTTTGCCCTAACAGAAATCTTAGTTTTCGAGTCTCATCATTTTTACCATGAAAAGACAGATCAGTAAAAACAGAATTTTTGTATCATTGCTGCATTTGTGCTGATTAAAATCTTTAAGACTAGAGACTGTTAAAAACTTACTTCTTATTTTATGAATACACATTCAATTGGACAAGTATCTAAAAGAACACATACACCTTTAAGTAAACACTGGTTTTCTAACCATCAAGACAGGCGATGGACAACCGTGAGGGTAGTATAACGATTTCCTCAGATCTCTGGGAATTCTCGGGATCCAAAAGGAGCCAAATTAATCCAGTAACTGCCGTTTAGAATGCTCTAATAGCCTAATTTCTATAAACTGAGTAAAAAAACAGTAGTGGTTTTTATCCTGAAATGATGGCTAACTGCCATACTGTACTTACCTCCAAATAGTTCCAAATCTCTTAAGCCCTCAACAATGAACTTTTCCGAGACCCACCGCTAAAGAGGAAAACCCCAAAGACAATTAGTGTTTCCATGTTAGAGAGAATTAGATGTTAGCCATTAGACAAACAAACAAGAACACAGTGACTAAAACAGATCACACAGTACAGTTAAGAGACATTTTTATGGAAAAGTCTGGAAAAGAGTCATGATGTTACATCAACTGAAAACAAGACATTTAGAATTCACTTCTCTACTCCTCTATGCCTAATTTAAATTTTAAATCTGACAGATAAGAAATAAGTAGTACTGGTCCTAAAAGCAAAGACTGTTTTGTCCTTCTTGTGAGATAAGCACTGGACCGCAAGGTCGATTTGAAGTGCATGGTTGACAGTTCAAACTCAACAGTTGCCACTCAGAAACCTTATACAGGGTCGCTGTGACTCAGAACTGACTTAACAGCACCAACAGCATTTAACAACAACAACAAACATAATGCTAGGGAGCGCGCGGTGGCTCCATATGATAAGTACTGGACTTGGAACCAGAAGGTCTGTGATTTGAGCCCACAGAAAGATGAGGCTTTCTGCTCCATGAAGATTGAAAAGCCTTGGAAACCCTACACAGGGTCATTGTGAGTCAGATGTGACTCAAGGGCACATACATAACACTACCTTTTGGTTCCATCTTACTCATTTCATGGCCCTCCACTACAGATGCTTTGGATCATGAGTGCCAACTTGAAAAATATTAATTGAATTCACAATACAGAAAATAGGGATGAACACGAGTCTAGAGAAAAAGCAAGGTGCATGCTTTTTCACCCATGAGAGCTTCCAAAGCCATCACCACTTACATTATCTACCAAGTTTGGACACTTGGACCAATCAAGCATGGCTAACCTACGGTTGTTCACTTTACTGGCCTGTTTCAAATGAGTGTTAGATTTCCATCATACTGTTCAGTGGTCTAGCTGTACCTGAATCAGACCAGGTTGAAATAGGAAAGAAGCTCATGTTTAAAAGCAGTAGAATCAAGATCATATTTCACTACAGACTGGTATTAAGGTTTGGCTTGGGGGCATTCTTTCCACTGGCAGAGTTCAGGCTAAGGAGAGGTTAGATTTTACTCTGAAATGACAGTGGAGTTTACTCCTTTTAATACAGATTCTTCTTATATACGTAAAAATAAGAAAAAAGATTAAGTGACATTCAGAAATAAGTTGCATAATATTGAAATAGAATTAGAACATTATTCTCTTTGGGTTTCTATATCAATTTTTCCAAAAATTAGAAAAATAACACCCTAAATAAAAAATCTGACTAAAAAAATCATATGCACTATAACACAAAATATAAATTGCACTCTAATATTCACAGAATGGTGTATTTAAAATGTCTCGTAGCACTTAAACCCTGTGATAAAATATTAATTTATTGCTTTATTTAAATGTTAAGTACTTGGTAATAAAATAAGATAGTCTTTTATGAAATCATAAGAGCTTGTAAAAGTTAAATCTAGTATATGTTCTTGAGGTCATTTTAGCTGATAACATTTCAAAGTGTAATAAAAAATTTCATGTTCAAAACAAAATCTTCAATTAAAAACTATATTTAGAAAAAAAATTACAGTGTTTACAATTTGACATTGATTCTAAAAACAAACTCTGGATAGAATTTGAAGAGGGAAGTAAATCTATCACATAAGGACAAATATCATTAAGACTTCACTTCTATAAACAGACAAGAAAAGGAAGATATATAGAGATAAAAATTTACTAGTGGTTACCAAAGGTGGAAGAGAAGAAGAAACAAAGGATTAATTGTAAAGGAAAAATCACATTAATTAAGGACTGGGTTGCACAGCCAGGCTATAATTGCTGTCAATAGGTTGTATACCTATAAAAGGTTGAATTGGCAAAAGCTGTGGATAAATATATTGAAAATGACGACCCCCGCCCCCCATCACCCAAATAAAGGAAGTTACTACTGAGGCTGCTTATGTACAACAAAACACTTTACGGGATTTAGTTCCTAGGTTTGGAGGTTTAGGTCCATGGTTTCATGAGACATCCCTATTCATTGACCTAATAATGATGTTAGTGCTTCTATTCTACATCTTAATTCATTGTGTAGTGCCTGGAGTCATAAAAGTGTGGAAGTAGCCATCCAAGGTGCAAGAATTGGTCTCTATTCACCTGGAACAACAAAGTTAGAGGAGAATCAGGAATAGGAGGAGGATATGGAATGTGTGGCTAATTGCCTCCATGAACTGCTGGCTATTTACCATCAGTACAAAAGATCTGGATGGTGCCGACTACTAATCCTGAACAGTCTTATACAAGATTCCATAGAAGAATCCTGACCAAGATGGGGAAAATGTAAAACAGAATTTCAAATTGTCATGGACACTAGATTTTTTGGAGTCATTACTTCACTGCCCTGAAGTAATCTTAAAATAAACCTTAAGCCAATAACAGCCCCTAAAGTCTTCTTAAAACCAAACAGTAGTTTAGCCTAAGTAGTCAAAAAGGTCTGCCTAGAGTATTAATGCTCTTTTAACTATATGGGATCAAATTGACAACAGTAATTTGAAAAATTCAATAGGAAGCTCAGGGGGCAGTGAGTTTAGAATGAGAATGGTTGCACAACTCCAAGACTGTCACCCATGTCACTAAATTCCATGTAGAAACTGTGGAGTGGTGCAGGTTTTGACGTATATATTCTCAGTAACAACAAAGAAAAGAAAATTAAATAGAAAAAACAACAACAAACAAAGTAAATAGGGAGCCAGTCTTCTGAAAAAAGCTATCAAACTCATTTAATGTCGGATGACTGATACATGACGTGAGCCACCCTCTTGTTTCTTCTGTCAGACAAGTTTGGGGATAAATTCTGTGTCTTTGGTCAACCACTACCTGCAAGCTCTTTTTCTCAGAAGTGGAGATTACAATACGTGCCTTACTTTTCTACATCTTTCACTTCTCTAAGCATCACATAGAAAACCATTTCCAATATCTGTCAAAACATATTGCTTTTCAGAAAACAGAAATAGGAAAGTCAGAAGAAAAGAAACACTCACCCTAATTCGTTCTGGTTTACTTACAAGAAAAGACATGAGTTCCTAATGGGTAGACCTGGTTCAAGTTCAAAAATTAAACCTAAAAGGAAAGTAAAAACAAGCTGAATTAGTCACACCTCTTTTTGATAGAAACTTTTCCCCAAATTTTTTTCTTTATTATTAAACAATTTATTAAATTCTCTGACAGACCAACAGTTGCACAGCAGTATTTAAGACTCTAGGTATCACATGTACAAGCACTGTGCCCCAGACAAATACTAAGGATTATAATCAATGTTTGGGAGCACAGTGGCTCTGTACAATAAGCACCGTACTGCCAATCACAAGATTGACAATTCACGACCACTATTCACTCTTTGTGGCACTGTGGGTTAATGCGCCAGACTGCAAAGCCGTTTGAACTGTAAGGTCAGCGGTTCAAGCTTACCAGCTGCTCCTTGAAAACCCTATACAGGGTCACTATGGGTCAAAACCGACTCAACGGCACTTAACAACAGTCACTCTGTGGGAGAAAGATCAGATTTTCTGTACCTGTAAAGATTGGAAACCTTATACAGGATTACCATGAGTCAGAACCAACTCAACAGCACTTAACAACATAATCAAAGGTTATAGACTCCCTTCAGCCAATATCCCAGAATACCCAAATTAAACCAAAAGAAGAGATTCCCTTCCCAATCTAACAGAACGAAATTATATGCCACAAAATTTTAAGACCTGTTATATTACAAAAATAAAAACAGATACAAAAAGATCTGTATTAAGTTTTATAATATTAAAGGTCTCAGAATTTTGTAACATCATTTTCTTCTAAGTCAGCATAAATTCCTCCTGTGGGGCCAGCTAGAAAAAAACTTTTGGTTAACCAAAATTTACTAAGGGTTCTACCATTCAAAAAACATTATATTAGACCTGTAAACTACTAGAGTGGTGTGACATTGTAGAACACTCCAGCATAAGGTCTGTTTGAACTGTAAGGTCGGCAGTTCAAACTCATCAGCCACTTCACAGAAACCCTATCTATACAGAGTCGATTTGATGGAAATTAACAACAGCAACAAAGAACTGTTTAGATAAACTTTCAGTGATGATCAACCTGGATGTACTTTGGCCAATAATTCTACAATACTACAATCTCTATAAGAAAAGATTGTTATTTGATTTTCTTTCTTGAAGTTAATTTTTTTTTATTTGAGATAATGCATATATATAATTTAAATGTCAAATAGTATCGAAAAGCTTATATCAAGAAATAGCAGTCTTTTGATCCCTAGCCTCTTCCCAGAAAGCCAATGCCTTCAACTCTTGTGGCTTTCGCCCCTGCTGCTTATCACCATAATTTTAAAATAATGTTTAGATTATTGTTGCTCATAAATTTTAGGTATTTGCCTACTAACTTCTTACCATGGTAGATGAAGACTAAACTCTCCTACATGACCTTACTCCACCTTTCCCTCTCATCATCCTCCCAACAAGGTTTCTGGCACACACCACGCAGACTCACTGCTACGGTGTCATACTCACAGCACCCCACATAGGGCTTCAAGACTGTCAACCTAGGAGCAGACAGCCTCTTGTGTCTTTCGTGGAAGGGCTTGGTGGGTTTGAGACACTAACCTTTTGGCTAATGGTCCAGTGCTTATCCTACAATGCCGCCAGGGCTCCTAAGTTCTGACATGTATGTGTTTAAGTGCCATCGAACAGTTTCTGACTCATAACAACTCTGTATATGGTTTCCAAGGAACAGCTGGTCAGTTTGAACTGCCGACCTTGCTATTACCAGTCCAGTGCTACCCCACAGTGCCATATCAGAAGCCAGTCCTGGCATAGTATTTGGTAAATCTGTATTACATATTTGTATTAGTATAATAGGATTATGACAGGTTGGAAGTGGGGATAGATATATGCAATTTGGTAAAGATCTGTACATGTTTTGTGTGAAAGGCTTTTTGACTCCCCCTCAAAATAACTGCCATTGCTTTGATTTCTCTGGAGCTGTTTTTGTTTTTTTTTTTCTTTTTTTAAGGATCCTTAGAACTCTACGTTCCAGATTAAACCTCTTCCCCCACCCCATCATCAGTGTGAAAATACCACAACCCCTGACAAACCCACTCTACCTCAGGAAAAAAAAAAAAAAAAAGGAAGGTGGTATATGTAGCAAGTTATTTTTTCAAGATTCTTCAAAAGCAGTCTTTATTTTGAACTGTGTGGTGGCTGTGTGATGGTATCTCATCATGGTTTTAACATGCATCTCTCTGTGATGTGTCTGTTCACATCACTTGCCTATTTTTAAAACATGATGCTTTGCATTACTGAATTGTAGTGTTATTCTTTACATATGCTGGGCATTATCCCTTTGCTGACTGTGCACTGTATTTGTTCATTATAGTAAGTCATAGTTGCAAGTACAAATACTTGTTGAGTCCTCTAAGCCCTCTTAGCAAATCACCAAGTCTGAGAATGGTCTTGGGTACCTGAAGGAATTAACCTAAAGATTCTAAATCTACTCCTGAATTATGCAGGTCAATGGGTTAGCTACCTACCAAGACCTTACTCTATAAGCTTCCAATAAAACTGCTCTTACTAAAACTGTATCTATATAGCCTTCAATTTACATAAAAGGCATTATGAGAACACATTCTCAGAAATGTGTCACTCTGCATCCAATAAGCATGCTTTGAAGATGCTGTTTATTACTGTGCCCACTAATAAGAAAAATCAGAAGAAATGTTATTCTTGGTCAAAAACAGGAATAACTTTTTGCTTTTCCTGAATTTCTGTCAAATCTATAAGGGAGCTTTCAAAAGTTCATGAAAAAATGGAATGAAAAGATGATGGAATTTTGCTAACTTTTGGATGCGCCCTTGTATTTCAATCTTGTACAAATTAATCGTTTCCTTAACAACATTTATCAACACATGCTTTACTCCTGTGTATGACAATGATAGGAACACATGAAGAAAACATTTCAAGGGCAGTTAAGCCTAAAGGTCAGTTTAGAAAAATAGAAGCCATTAGGAAAGGTTAAAGGGCCTGGTGCTGCAATGGTTAAAGCATTCCATTGCTCAGCAAAAGATCGGTATTTCAAACTCAACAGTTGCTCCATGGGAGAAAGATGTGGCAGTCTGCTTCAGTCAAGATTTACAACTTTGGAAGCCCTGTGTTCTACTCTATCCTTTCTACAGTCACTATGAGTTGGAATCAACTCAATAGCAGTTGTTGTTAAGTGTCATCAAATCAGTTCTGACCCATAGCCACACCGTAAAGGGTTTCCGAGGCTTTAAATCTTTACAGGAGTAGAAAGCCTCATCTTTCTCCCACAGAACCGCTGGTAGTATCGAACTGCTGACCTTGAAGTTATCAGCCCAACTCCTTTGTCTGGAAGGAGCCCTGGTGGCATAGTGGTTAAGGTGTCTGGCTGCTAACCAAAGAGTCAGCTCCTTGGATGAAAGATATGGCAGTGAAAAGGAGGTGGCAGTCTTTTCCCCTAAAGATTTACAACCTTGGGAACCCCAAAGGGCAGTTCTACTCTATCTGAGGGGGCTAGGAGTCCATGGCTGTGGGTTTGCTTTGAGGTTTGGGCCTGAGGCAGTTATCAGAGATGAGATTCTGTTTCTTCAACTCTCGGGGTCAAGACACAGTCTTGGGTATCTCTAAAAGGAATAATCAATTGATGAAAATCTGTCTTAATGCCGTAAATACATTTTCAAATCTAATTCTATTTCAACAGATGTTGTTAAGTGTGGCTGAGTCGGTTCCCACTCATAGAGACCCTGTACGGGATTTTCAAGGAGTAGCTGGTGGGTTTGAACTGCCGACCTTGTGGTTCCCAGTCCAGTGTTGATCCTGCAGCGCCACACCAAGAGTCCTATTTCAACAGACAACTGCAGATATTACCGTTTTAAAAGGTCCAACTCAAATGGCTTTCCCTTTTTCGGCACAGTATGAGAGAAACCAAGTTATAGTTAGCAAAAGGCAGAGTGGCTGGTACCCTAAAAGCTGAAAACTAGAACAATTTTATTAATCACTCCCTTTCTCTTGCGATCTCTCCCCGGCCTCTAATCCCCATCTCCATCCGAAATCTACTATGCGTGCATAACTCTGAAGACAAGCCGGTCACTAGATCAGGGATGCTGGGTCCTCACGGGGCTGGAGATGGGGCATGGTGAGCGTGCAGGGAGCTTTAGGACAAACACATCTGGGTACCAGGTTCCTCAGTGCAAGTCCAGGGAAAGGGAAAGCAGGAGGCCGCCCTGCCTATTGGGCCCCTGGTCGCGGGGACGGAGTAGGAGACCGGGAAGAGGGCCTGAGGAGAGCGAGGGTGGGCCAGGATGGCTGCTCTGACGAAGGCCCGCCCCTGAAAAGATGGGCTTAGCATCAGGGCGGGGAGGAGCTGAGCCCCGGAGCGCGCCAGGCGGCCCCGCCAGCCCGGTACCTGGTCCTGGAGTGAGCGCGCAGTCCCGACCCCGGCTGGGCTCCGCCTCCTCAGTTTATGGCTGCTCTGCCACCAGGCCGGTTGCCGAGAGGGAGGGACGTAACGTGCCATGCGCAGTAGCGCAATGTGGGACAGGCCAGTGGAGGCGAACACCGCCCAGTTCAGAGAAAGCCCCACCTTCCCCAATTGCCCCTCCCTTCCCCGCTTCGCACGTGCCCTTACTCGTTTGGTACAAATTCTACACAAGGCCATTTCGTCCAAACCGAGGGGTCCAGTTTCCCCCAAGAAAAGAGATTGGCTTGCCATCTGGACTATCTGCAGTTGCAGGGCCTCCACCTGAACAGCACGCAGGACAATAGGGTCATTACCAGTAAGGAGAGTCAAGAGGACTCGGTCACTTTAAGGATTTAAATTCCCTGCAAATTTCAGTGGAAAGCTCTAGCTTACATTTTCATTTCAAATGCCTCTCAGGCTACAACTGGGAAATGTTTTTATCCCTTCCAGATATTTTTGTCCCCAGAGTCTTCATCACAACTCTGAGAGCCCTGCTCTGTTTGCAGAAAACTAGGGTAAGAGTTCCGGTGTGGAGCAATAGGATAAGCATTAGAATGCTAATCAACCACAAGGTCTGCGGTTCAAATCCACCAGCCACACACTGGAAACACTATACAGGGTCCTTATAAGGCGGAACCGACTCCATGGCACTTAACATGGTAGGATTTGAGTTAATGGGGAAACTAGCCCAAGCAAACACTTAAGAAGCTTGAGAAGTGACCAGAGCAATCAAGTAAGTGACAGAGCAAGACTTTGCTTTAAGACCAGGTTCTCAGCGATTTACTGCGCCCAACCTGGGGGAGGGAGATTAGATTAAAAAATACCTGTGAAGCTTTATCTAAGGAGCTCTGGTAGCGTAGTGGTTAATAATTGGGCTGCGAAACGCAATGTTAGCAGTTTGAAACTACCAGCTGTTCCGCGGGAGAAAGATGAGGCTTTCTACTCCCGAAAAGATTTATAGCCTTAGAAACCCTGTACAGGGTCGCTAGGAGTCAGAACCGACTCCACGGCTCATAACCACCACCACTAACCACAAAGTTTGCTGCTCTTCCGGAGGAAAATGAGGCATTCTGTTCGTATAAAGGTTTACAGCCTCAGAAAGCCTATACAATGGCTCTATGAGTCGGAACCGACTTGATGGCACACAACACACACCATGGTGGCGGTGGTGTGTCGCGGAGTTGGTTGCGACACATGGCGACCCTGCATAGGGTTTCTGAGGTTGAAATTTTTTCCCGGAGTAGAAAGCCTCATGTTCCTCCCACGGAGCTGCTGACCTTGTGTTTAGTAGCCCGACTAGTAACCAATACGCTACCAGAGCTCCTTGTATCCATGTATTTATATAGATATTTATCGGGTATTTATCAACAGATACTACTACAGCACTGGACTGAAGAAATACATTGAGATATTTCAGATTTTTGTTTTAAAGATACTTGTTTATAGGATACGGAATTGCTGAATGGGTGTTTTGTCTGCAAAATACTGTAGTACCCTGGTAAAAAAATGTAATTATTTTAAAGTACCTTTTGCTCACGTTACCGGAGTCCAGTCGCTCTGAGGGAGTTGCCAACACCGCGCAGGTTGTAGCAAAGGAAGGACTTCTATAGTGCAGGCACCTCGCTCAGTGGATTCGGATCCAGAAACAGAGACCGTCTTGTCCGTTCGAGAGTGTTTTATAGGGAATGGAGGGTGCACGCATGAGTCCTTTGGGATTGGTCAGTGGGGCCAAAAGCTTCACGGGGTTACCTGGGATTGGCTGGTTCAAATAAACGGCGGGGAAGGTTCAAGCGAACAGTTACAGAAACGGAAGCAGATAACCATTAACATGGGGCTTTGTTCCCGCCCAGAGGTGGGTCAGAAGCAGGAGGTTAGCTTGGGCAGTCGCCTGAGGCTGGGGTGGTTTGTTGCTTAGTTCCTGGAATGTGACTCGGCTCCAGGAATGAGGTGTGGACGTGGAGTCCTGCACCTGCTTTTACAGGCCTTCAGGTCTCATTCCCCCCTTTGAGGCCCATATTGCTAGGTAGCAAACTAATAGGCTTCACTTTTCTGGATGATACTTTCTAGGTCAGTGGGCACGAGCTGATAGGTATGTTGTCAGCGTATACAGGAGGTAGTTTTCTTTTCTATATGGCTTTAACTATGTTTTTCAGCATTTTGATAGCTAGTGAAAGGAGGCATGGGATGAGCAGACATCCCCCTATAATGAACAGAAGTCTTCCCACCAGAGTTTTGAATCCTCCAAATGTTGAAAACCAGTCTCCCCACAATGATTCTGAACTCCATCCATGCCAAGTTTGAAGGGGAACATGAACTATTGCCTGCATTTCCCCAGTTACTTTGTTAATTACTTTCCCCAGGTCATCTATTTCCAGGCAACAATTGGTCAGATTAAACTTTTCCACTCCCCATTTTCTCATATTAACATGTAATCTAGAGCTAACTGGTTCTAATACATGGTATTTCTGATTTTTGTTTGTTACTTTGCTAAGACTCTTAGGACTTGATGTTTCACTTGTAATGATTTCAACTACCTCTTGAAGCCAAGTTATGTGGGTTAGAATATAAATGGGCATCTGGTAGACCCAAGATCCATCCTCCACCTAGGTGGCCAGGCCGTAGTATTGGATTATTTTTTTCGGTGGCCATTTATCATCTTTCCAATTCTTGATTTGTATGTTCCATTTACTGTGGGAACTGAAGGAGTATACTGGATGCCCTAGAGCCTCCCCTTGTTTCATTGGTAGCAGGAAGAAGGGTTTATGGTGACCCAGCTTCTGGTCCACTGGTCAGGTAGGTAAAAGTAGACCCATTTTCCACAGATCCAGTAGAGATCTGTGGGTGCCTTTCAGCCTCCTATTTTTTCTATATTGTTCCATTGGTCGTGAAAGGAGGGGAAGGGCTGGAGGGGATTCTTATTGGCTGAGGCATTTCCCCACCACTCACTACTTGTTGAGGTTTCATTATACAGTCTGTCCTATGCAGTTATATTGGCCTACGGGAACTGTGACATTTTCCTCATTGGGTCAGGCAGTGCTGACCCACAGTGCTGGGCCACACTATCCATGGAGTTGTCCCAATGAGTGGTGGGACTGGAGGGCTTGTGGACGTTGGGTCAACAGTTTTCTTTTTCCAGGTGTCTGGATCTATTTCTTGTGCTACCCTGGGCCATTGGTCTCCCACTAACGTTCCCCCACATACAAAGCATGATGTTACATTTAAAGTTTTTGCAAGATGTCCTGCCAGTCCCAGGAACAGGTTTTCTACTGATCTTGTGACCTGGGGGAGGGGCCGGGTGAGCTCCTCATAAAAGGAGTGAAAGGACTGAAAAGCTTCTTTGGGCTGGCTCCAGCCTGTCCCCTGATAATGATCAACACTCATTCCTTTCCCTCCCTCCAGTGCGAGTCCTGGGATTGGGTAATGGTTAGTTTCAGTGGGTTACACTGATGGGCCTGACACTTGGGTGTGGTCACTCCCCGCTTAAGGAGGAGTACCTGTGTGTTATATGAAGGTTTTTGGTATATAGCTCAACTAACACAACTCCAATAGTCACATGCAGCCCCACACCCCACACTTACTGTACACATGTATTTGTGTTCTAACTGATAGCTTCTCTCCCAGCCTCATGAGCCACACGTTAAACCCTGGGAATTACTTATGGCTTTCCAGGTATCAAATTTTAACATTACCTGTCTGGGGCTTCCTTTTGCTTCTGTTTGTGCTATAATGGGACGCTCACCAGGAAAGATATTTTTTGGTCCAATTTTAACTTCCAAAGCTACCAGGGTAGAAGGTTCAGCTGGGTCATAGCAAATATGAGTGCCTTCTGGGTTGGTGCATATGGAAAACTGGGTGGAGTTATCGACACACTTCCCTGTAAATGTCTCCTCACAGCGGTAGCATTGGTAAAACAACAGGGTTTTAGTAAAGGCACAGTATGCCCGGTTTGTCTAGATGCACCTGCTGCAGTCACCATCCCTTTCTCCTGCTGGGAACAGTAGAACTATTAAGTCTATTAATGCGAAGATCCTCAAGCTTCAGCAGTGGGTCGACCATCAGCTTGCAGGATACAGTTGGAGCAGGGCATGTTGTCTGTTGTCTCAGCATGGCTCAGGTGGGCTGCTCAGGAGTCTCTTCGCACTTCGCAGGAGTCGGGCAAAGCGGCTTGTTTCAATCTGCTCTGATGTGGCGGAGCGGCTTGTTTCAATCTGCTCTGATGGATCCAGGCGGGTATTCCTTCGACCTTAGCTACCGTTGGGGTAGTCAGGATGACAGTTAGCGGTCCCTTCCACTTGGGTTTCAGTAGAGTTAAGTTCCAGTTCTTTTCCCACACCAGGTCACCTGGGCTGAAAGAGTGTACAGGGGAAAACAAACTGACAGGGAACATCTGAATTATCCATTTAGACAGTTTGTTGGCCACTTTTCCCAGTGCTTGGACTTATGAGAAAATTTCACTTCCCCTATTTCCTTAGCAAGGAGCAAAGAAGGGGCAAGGGTCAGGCAAACAAAATTTCAAAACGGGAGTATCCAGTGATTTTTTTGAGGGGTATATCTTATTTTTAATAAAACAAGCAGGAAAACGTGGGGCCAGGTTAAGTGAGCTTCCTGATACTATTTGCTAAGCCCATTTTTTTATGGTACAGTTCATGCCTCTGACTTTACCAGAGCTCTGAGGCCTATAAACTGCATGTAGCTTCTTCCAGTTTATGCCCGGTATTTTAGCTGTGTGTTGTATTATTTCTGCTATGAAGGTTGGTCTATTGTCAGATCCCATAGTTAGAGGCAGTCCATACCTTGGGATAATTTCTCGTTCAGCCCTCAGTACTTTTTTTTTTTTTTAACTTTATTTCAACATAACTATGTTTACAGAAATACACTAATAATGGCTAATAGAATACAATTTAAATTTAGCTTATGCTACATAATTTGAACCATAATTTGGTTTAGGATTTAAAAAAAAAAAAAAAGATTTGCAATCTGGTTTATTTGGTTTTTTTTTGGCAGCAAGAGCCATGAGAAATTTACCTTTGATTTGCTTCAGAAAAACACACATATTACACTGTAAAAGT